AGTAAAAGAAGAAAACTGAATCCATCCGTTTCAAAAGGCTTCCATAGATTCCATTCAGGAAGATAGCATTTAAAAAGTAAGATGACCACTGTCCAAAACCATACCAAATTTAATTCCGCCGCTTGATTCTTCTATTCTCCAATTTAAATTAATTTTAAGTTTTTATAGGCAGTCTCTTTTTAAAACAGTAAAAGTTCCTCACCAGCTGGAAACATTTTCTCTTTCCTCATCCTTCTGTTTTGGAGCCGCCCCAACTTTGTCAGCCTTGGCTGGATTTTTGTCGCCTGTTTGAAGAACTTCCCTTGCTTCTTTCAGGGATTTTGCGATATCCCTGAGGTCAGCAAGATGTATTCTTCATATTCACCATCTCTTCGGGATGGTTTAGGTCCATTTGGATTACCCAGCAGCAAAAATATTGGCTGTGGTCTCAGAGCATCAATACCGCATGTCCATCTCGTCACGACATTGGCTCCTCCCCCCTGATAGCGTGGATCTTGTTCTTCCCATGGAACAAGCTCTTGCTACTTCAATTTTGTCTTCTTTGTGTGGTCATTGTTTCTCTCTCTCTCTCTCACTCCCTCTCCCTCTCCCTCTCTCCCTCTCCCTCTCCTTGATTCATTTCCATCCATTGTTTCTTGACTTGCTTTCAGCTACTTTGGGAAATAGGTTGACCCTCTTCTCTTTGTGGCAGCCTCTCAAATATTGGAATACTGCTATTGTGTCCCCCCAAACCTTTTCTCTAGACTAGCTAAACCCAAATCCTGTAACCATTCATGCAGTATGTGTTGAATATAAATTATTTATGATATATGAACTGAAGAATTACGTTGGCTATTGCTGTAGACTTGGTTATTAGTTTAAAAATATTTATAAACACCAATTGTCTTGTTATGGAAAAATTATTTATCCTACTAGATTTGCTATGTTATATAATTAGAAAAACCTTTGTCCTAGAGTAGGAAGTACCTTATAAAATGGATAATATGTAACTATGTTTCCTTTTACATTTCATTGTTTGAAATGCTCATTTTTATAAACTTGTTGGCTTATTAAATAGTTAATTTACCCTGTGAAATTTCAGGCTTCATCTGTAAAGTTTTTTAATATTGCTGGACAAACAATGGAAAGTTTTGTCCACTCTTTAAATGAAGATAGCAAACAACAGGATATGGATTCTGATGAAAGTCAGTTTGTCTTAGGTTTGGCTGGAATTGTTACAAGTAAGTAACTTCTAATATTTTATAGAATAATAAGAAATCACTTAAGTTGACATTTCACTTTAAGTTTGTTTTTTAATTTAGCTTATTTTAGTATAACTATGTTATTTATTAAAACTGATCATTCCATATAATGCCTTTCTTCTTGAGAATATATTTAGTACTAACGCAGCTATTGTGCTTAATGCTTAGCTTTTTTTTTCATTGTGGAAAAGTTGCTATCAGACATCTTCCCACTTTGGGCTAGACTATATCTCTCAAATCAACCTACACCTCAGGACTTTGTGGGAATAAAATAAAAGGCAATCTCTGTCAGTTACCTTGAGCTCTTGGACAAGGGGCATGATATAAATTTAACAAATAAAACAATAATCTGCATTAATTGTCTCTGAGTCCAACCTACCCAATTGCACAAGGCGTTTGTGTGAAAAAATAGAGGGGATGCAACAGTGTCCACAGCATTAAACCACAAAGTTCCGTTTCTTTGGAATGTACAATATTTTTGATGTTGCTTGACACATATAAAAAGAGGTGGAGCTTGTGCTGTGACACTACTTTTATCAGTCTCATTCTTTCCCTTCCATGTAGATATTAGTAAGAAATTTGTCTTATAGGTGAAATGAGTGGCATATACATTTAATTAATTATTTAATAATTATCTAGTGGAGGAAAGGTAGGATATAAATCTTAAGTAAATCTAAGTAATAAAAATATTATAAATGAATGATTTTTGTGTGCTTGTGTTCAACAACTAATTAGCAGCTTTTCTGAAAATTACTTTTTCAATAGTGCTCTTAAATAAGAACACAACTTATTTAAAGTTTTTTTGTTTTATTTTGTCATTTCTTAGATGTTGCTGCTTTAGCAATTGGTCGTGAATTCCTTGTTGGTTCAAATCAGGTACTGCTGGACACAATGATTCAGCTGCTGAGAGATATGAAGCCAGGATGTTGCACCAAACTGAAAGTGTATGATAATTGGTTATTTTTGAATTAAAGTGTTATCCTTAATATATTAATATTACATTAAATAACAATATTAATTTTATATTAAACAAATTTATCTTAATATGCCACTGCTAAAATGTTCTGGCAGAACAGTTAAAATTCATGCTCTAAATAGCAAATTCTCCAAAGGAAAAAAGTACCAGTCAATCCAAAACTCTCAATCTAATAAACCCAATTAGAATAGCAATTTCTTTTTTATCCAACTGGGTAGAATTGCAGAAATAAAAATGGAATAATGCTAAACCTATCCACACACATTGGAATTTCTAAGTTGTTTCTTTTTGAAAAGACAACTCTCTGAAAACTTGTCAGTCATCTACAAAACTCTAGGAAGTTCCAGAAATACTGTTCTTTGTGTAAAGACTATCAGATATAAGGGATGGAGTGATAAAGCAACAAGTTCCAGCTCAGGAATATTGTTACTTATGCATATATTAACAAAAGGTTTCTACAATAAATTGTTTGACATAACTTAGTCTGGAAAAAAATTCCTTTGTTTTTAATTACAAGTAATTTATTTAATTTTCATTTTCTAGTTAACAAAATTACACTATGCAGATTTTAGTGTCATATATTATTATAAAGGATGGACAGCAGAGGGTGTTATAGGCTTAATTCAAAATTAACATTTTCAGAGATTGTGGATCATAGAACTATATTTTTGTGGCTAAGAGACTATATTTTAAAAAGTGATACCTAATGAAAATGCTTAAACAAGTATAAATATAACTTTGTAATATAAAAGTTGCTAGAGTAGTGATGATAGGATGAAGTTCTAAAGAATTAAGCATTTCCTAGGCTAATGTTCTAAATCAGGGGTATCAAAAAAGGCTTGTGAGCCAGATCCGATGTGATCAGATCCAGCATATGGGACCATTCTGGTCTACCCAATGCAAAGAGAAAAGATTGGGCCAGTGTGACATGCAAAGAGGAAACATGCCACTCCCACCCAGTTGGCCACGTTCCGCCCCACCCAGGTCAACCACAGTTCTGATGTGGCCCTCAATGAAATTGAGTTTGACACCCCTATTCTAAATAGTGAGCTTTGCCCTTTGTACAATTTAATTGTATCTATGTATCTATGTATCTATGTATGAATATATATATATATATATATAT